CCAGCATCTTGTGCCCATTTAATCATAGCAGATTTCACCGTTTCATCCTGAGTATTCCATTTCAACAGCAAGTTATACATCTTTGACAAAATCTTAGTTTTGGGTTCTAACAGTTCTGTTTCTAATTTTGATTTTTCCACCTGGAAGCCAATTTTCTTGTCCAAATTGTATGCCTCCATTATCTGATAATAATGAAGCCAATCTCGCACTTTATTTTTTAGTTTTTCAAAACTCTGCAGTTTCAATCTATCTCCCTCTTGTTCCAGAATTTCCCAATATTTCGGCCATTTGGCCTCCATCTTGAGCTTTTTCTGAGCTTTCGCTTCCATCGGTGACAACCACCTTGGGTTTTTATTTTCAAGTAGGTCCTTATATCTTATCCAGACATTAAACAATGCTTTCCTGACAATATGATTTTTAAATGCTTTATGTGCTTTGACCTTATCATACCACAAGTATGCATGCCATCCAAATACATTATTAAAACCTTCTAAGTCCAAAATGTCTGTGTTTTCAAGAAGCAGCCATTCTTTCAGCCAGCAAAAAGCTTTCACCACTCTTTTGTTGACTATGAGGGCCACTCCATTTCTTTTACGGGTTTCTTGCCCACAGTAGTAGATATGATGGTCATCCGAACTGAATTCGCCCATTCCTGTCCATTTTAGTTCACTGATGCCCAGGATGTCAATATTCTTGCCATCTCATTTTTGACCACATCCAACTTACCCAGGTTCATGCTTCTTACATTCCAGGTTCCTATGCAATATTTTTCTTTACAGCATTGGACTTCCCTTTCGCTTCCAGGCATATCCGCAACTGAGCGACCTTTCGGCTTTGGCCCAGCCGCTTCATCAGCTCTGAATCTACTTGTACTTGTCCTCCGCTCTTCCTCAGTAGCATGTTGGACGCCTTCCAACCTGAGGGGCTCATCTTCCAACGTCATAACTTTTATATGCCTGTTGTCTTTGTCCATGGAGTTTTCTTGGCAGGGATACTGGAGTGGCTTGCCGGTTCCTGCTCCAGGTGGATCACGTTTGGTCAAAACTCTCCACTATGACCTGTCCATCTTGGGTGGCCCTGCACGGCATAGCTCATAGCTTCTCTGAGTTATTCAAGCCCCTTCTCCACGGCAAGGCAGTGATCCATGAAGGGGATGAAATCCCTTAAAGGGCCCCTAAAGAGCTGCCCATGTGGGTGGCGCTGTAGTCTAAACTACAGAGCCTAGGGCTTGCCGATTGGAAGGTCGACGGTTCGAATTCCGCGGTGGGGTGAGCTCCCGTTGCTCGGTCCCTGCTCCTGCCAACCTAGCAGTTCGAAAGCATTTCAAAGTGCAAGTAGATAAATTGGTACCGCTCCGGCAGGAAGGTAAACGGCGTTTCCGTGCACTGCTCTGGTTCGCCAGAAGGAGCTTAGTCATGCTGGCCACATGACCCGGAAGCTGTACGCCGGCTCCCTCAGCCAATAAAGTGAGATGAGCGCCGCAACCCCAGAGTCGTCCTCGACTGGACCTAACGGTCAGGGGTGTAGGGATATCGCGGAGCGAGGAGTGGGGTCCGGAGGGAGCACACTTCCCCGCCAGCAGGCAGCCACAGTCTGCCTGCACGCGTGACCTTGGGGTGCAGGACAACCCCCCCCCCCAGACAAGCCACAGCTGTCTGTACATCGTTCCACCTCTGCCTGACCTTTCACGATCTCAGCAGTTTGCGGTGTCCTGTCTGTAACCGTTTTCCTTTGAGACCTTTTGTCTCCATTCGTCATACATTGTGCAAGGGGAAAATGACGCTGTGGAACAGGTGCCAAAATAACTTCGTACCACCCCACGATTTCGGGACGGAAGATGTGTAAAGGTCACAGCCCAAAAATGTATGTGGCAAATGCTTGTCTGTGGTTGAAATGTTTATTGAACTGTGATGCCAGTTGTAGGGAATATACAGCTGTATCTCTTAGAATCTCTTTCTCAAAGGGATTGAAGCACAAGCGTTTTACATGTACCTAACCTGTTCTCAGTGCTGCTAGTCCATAGTGCATGTGATGCTGCTGTAAGGGAACCCCTGTAACGGTTCACAAAGCCACTGTTACATTTATTACATAACCAAGTATTTGGTGCCAGTCTATCTATTTTTACAACATTCCTGATCTGACCAGTGTGATGTGATGCTTTTGTTTTCTGATGCTGAGAAGATCAGGGGTCATTCTTGTTTACAAGGTTCTAAATGGCTCCCCCACCCCACCCCGCTTTGCCAAGAGTTAACACACCATTACACACACCACATCAGTGTGGAAACCCAATCTTTTTCTCTTTCTTTCTTTCTTTCTTTCTTTCTTTCTTTCTTTCTTTCTCTTTCCTTTCTTTCTCTCTCCCTTTTCTCGTACAAAGCTTGTGTGTCCAGGCCCAGACGGGGGGGGGGGGGCATATGGGCCACTTGGCCCGGGCCTTTGATTCCAACAGGGGCCTCGGTCAGCATACATTCCCTATGTATTTTTAAAAAGCACTATTGTATATCTATAGTTTCCATTTTGTCTGTATATGCAGATACGATTCAAGCCTTGAAATAAATTTTTTTGTCAGCGTACCTTGTGTGAAAATTATTTATATACTTACTTATTTATAAGACTTCAGTTATCCCCAGGGTAAAAAAAGGGGGGGCACATTATCTACCTGGCCCGGGCCTCTGCCTGGCTCTGCAAGGCCCTGTGTGTGTCTAATGCATCTGAATTACCAAGCCATACGCCCAGCCATGGATGTTTTCCTTTCTCGTCCCATCTGACATTTCTTTGTTGCCTGATATTTATAATCCGTGCTGTGGTTTTGTACAAGGGTTCAATGGGGGAAGACAATTCCACTAAATAAAATTTGCAATCTAAAACTGTGACTCTCTACAGACCTAACATAGCATCAAGGGAACAAAATGCTGTAAAAAATGCTTTTTATGTTGTGTTTAAGTAACAAGGATGACATTTCTGGGGTTTTGCTGTCAGTGTATTTTACGGCTTTCACGTTGGTTAATGTTTGCTTGAAATGTGAATACACTCATCGGTTGTGAATTATTGTACATGAATTTTGTATCTGAGACCCACTCAAATTACATGTACTATCAATATACAATAAACATATTTGCTTAAAAGTGTGCATTTCATCCTTCAGGAATAGGTGGGCTACACATTTAAATGAATGAAACTCAATCCTTACTGTTTATCATTATAATTCTCAACCACAGTGATGAATAATAATGTTATTTTCAATCATCTTTAAGAGCAGGAAGGCCCTCTTACACAGGCACTCTTCCCGCTTTCAGTTTTCATGAAAATCTCATATTTTCTTTCTTTAATGCCAGAATGTAGTAAGAGCCCTGCTGGATCAAACTCAAAGCCTACATATAGTCTAGCATTCTGTTCTCACAGTGGCTAACAATATGCCTATGGAACATCCATAAACAGAACATATGAACTAAAACTCTCTCCTCCTGTTTCCCAGAAACTGGTTTTGGGGGAGCATACTACCAATATATAGTAATTATGGCTATTGAAAATCAAGGCAATTCTTGTGAAAAATAGGAAATCCCAGGCTTGGTGGATTTTTTTAAAGTCTTGTAAAGGGAAGTTCTCTTTCTGCAGTTCTCTTACTGCACATAACTGTGGCATAAAGTCTTACTATTAGAACTATTGCTTCTTTTCTCTTGCATTCTGGGAAGTCTCGCTTCTGCTTCTGCACACACTGTTCCGAACACACCAAGCCAAACACACCTAGGCATTCTCTCATTCTTCAGTTTATTTCAAGTTCATGACCAAAACAATATGGTCTGTTCTTAATGCATAGCTGACCACATCTACGGAACTTGATTATTATATTCTTTCATGTTATGATCAATCATTAGTAATTGTTTTAGTCATGTTATATTAATCTTTAGTTATAATTTAATTAGGAGGATTCATGCCTGTCTAGTTCTAGCTCCATTTCTCATCCTTTGATCTATCAGTGATAAATGGTTGTATGTAATTCCCGCCTTGTACCTATGTTAACCAATCAGCAACAAGATGCTTTGTGTTTGTATCAACCAATCAGCCACAAGCACACCTGTGGCAATGTTTGTAATATTCAATAAAAGAGAGTTCCCGGGGCTTGCCCCGGCAGACGCCTCTCATATGACACTTACCACTCGTCTGTCGTGAATTCAACCCAACATCTGGTGACCCCGACGTGCCTGATCCCTTACGCAGCCAGCCCTCATACTTCACCTGACTGGAAAAATCTCAGCGCGCTACTTCGTGAGTATGGGAGGGGAACTGACTAAATTCCAAAAAGAGCATGCTAAAGAATTGCTTTGTTTAGTTAGACAGCGAGCGGTGGGTGTTAATATTTCCTTAAAAGAAATTGAACAATTGCTATGTGAGATCGCTATAGAGTGCCCCTTCTATCCTGAGGCTGGTTCCTTGGAGGTAGAGACTTGGCAAAAGATCGGAAAGACCCTTTTTACAGAACCTAGGGCTCCGATTCATTGTCTGCTCACTTGGCAGAAATGTGCAGACGCCGTTGCTAAATTAGGGCCCCAATTATTGGGACCCAAGGTGTCTCCCTCGGCGTCTCCCCTTCTAGCCATCGCAGACAATCCCCCACCTTACCCAAAGCTTTTGCCTCCTTCTCCTTTGCAGCCCAGCCAATCCCTCCCTGCGTCTCAACCTCCTCAGCCTGCATCCTCCCCCCCATCCCTCCACCTCAACCTGCATCCTCCCCCCCCATCCCTCCTCCGTCTGCCACAGCCCCTGTTTGCTCTATAGGAGCTGTGCGCGCTGCGCTTTCTTTGGCCAGGCAGAAAGGGCTCCTGTCCTTAGAGGAGGAGTCTGAGTGGCCAGGTGAAATGCCGTCTGCTTTCCCTATCACCTATTCAAACCCTGGAACTGCTCAACAGCAGGTTTTTTATGAGTCACTTCCTTATTCTGTAATGAGAGAATTAAGGAAAGCCATTACTGACTCTGGTCTAAAATCCTCTTATGTGACAGGAATGCTAGAAGGCATAGCAACTGGTTACATAATGCTACCTCAAGACTGGAAAGACCTGATGCGCATGCTTTTATCCCCAGCTCAGTATGTGGTGTTTGAGAGTGAATTTAAACATAGCGCATCAGCCCTGTCTGATCCACAGCATACTGCCAATCAACTCTATGGCGCTGGTCAGTATAATGATATAACAGCCCAGGCAACGCTGACACCTGTACATTTTAGTCGCACCGCAACCTGTGTACAACGCGCCTTTCGGAAAGTCCCTGTTTCAGGGCAACCACTGAGCTCCTTTGTTAATATCAAGCAACAGCATTCGGAGCCATACCATCAGTTTATAGATAGATTGAAAGAATCAGTCACTAGGCAGATTGATAACACTACAGCTCAAAATGAGTTGATGAGAAAATTGGCCTTTGAAAACGCAAACACCGATTGCAAGAAAGCTTTGCAGTCAATCATACATCGCCCTAAATATGACCTGGCCGATATGATTCAAGCTTGTGCGGATGTCGGTAGCCAGAGCCATGCGATGTCTTTGCTTGCCGGTGCAATCCAAGCTACCAATAGACCTACAGGTAACTGCTTTAATTGTAAGCTCCCAGGCCATTTTGCCAAGCAATGCAGAGCCCCTGGCGGGGGGGCAAACAAGGATGGTGCTGCCTCTAAGGCTAAACCCTCTAAAAAATGCCCGAAATGTGGAAAAGGCTATCATTGGGCTAATCAATGCAGGAGTCTGGGAAACTCCATTGTGGCCCCACTCTCGGGCCAGGGCAATTAGAGTTTTCCACCTTTAGTTTCTGCTGCTGAAAACTTTTCCAAAAATGCACCCTCTGAATTTGCCATTGATTTGATCAATCAAGAGACCAAAGACTCTGTTTTACCTGGTGAAATTGTGCTTATGCCCACTCAATTGGCAGGCCCCCTGCCTCCTAAAGTCGCAGGTTTAATTTTACCCACATTTTCTGCGGCAAAAGAAGGAATCCAGGTTATTCCTGGGGTTCTGGATCCTGACTATGTAGGCACAATAATGGTTCAACTCTGGAGCCATATGCCCATGCAATTAAAAAAGGGTGAGTCTTGGGCGCATTTGGTGGTGCTCCCTTCTCATCCTACTGCTTCTATTATGGATACTAATTTGCACGAGCTCTCTTCTTTCCCTCCACAGCTGTTAGCTGTAGTCCAGAGGATTGGTGAAAAGAAACTCCTTCGTAAGTATAAAATCAATGGTGGAAGGCTTGATTGACACAGGCGCAGACGTTTCTGTAATTTCTAATAGTTGCTGGGACCCCACGTGGCCCCTTGAGTCTGCCTCTGCAGTCTGGGGTGTGGGTGGCCCCCAAACCTCTTCCAAAAGCGTACAGTGGCTGCCTGTTTCTCTGCCTGATAGCTCTGAAACCATTGCATACATCCAGCCCTGTGTGCTGAAAATCCACCTCAATCTGTGAGGAAGAGACTTACTACAGCAATTACAAGCTACCATTCAATTTAATGAGTAAGCTTGCACTTCCACACAGCTGGAAATCTACCAGTCCTGTATGGGTGGAACAATGGCCCATAACGGGAGAAAAGCTACTTGCTTTAAAACAATTAGTGAATGAACAATTATCGGCAGACCGTATTGAGCCTTCAGTTAGCCCCTATAATACACCCATCTTCGTCATAAAAAAGAAGAGTGGCAAATGGAGATTTCTCCAGGATTTAAGGAAAATAAACCAAATCCTTGAACCCATGGGGCCTTTGCAGTGTGGTCTGCCTAATCCAAATATGATTCCACATTCTTATCAGTTGGCTATAATAGATTTGCAAGATTGTTTTTTCTCCATTCCCCTACAGGAGAAAGATCGTAAATTCTTTGCTTTTACTGTTCCTGTGCTAAATAACAGTCAGCCCACGGAACGGTACCAATGGAAAGTCCTACCACAAGGAATGCTGAATTCCCCTACCATGTGCCAACATTATGTGAGCCTTCAGCCTTTTCGTTTGCAGCATCCACACCTCTTAATTTAGCATTACATGGATGACGTGCTGATCACGGGGCCACGCCTCCCCCCTCAATGGAAGCATGATATGACAGCCTGTTTCTCACGTTATGGTTTGAAAATTGCCCCAGAAAAGGTTCAGGAATCCTCTCCCTTTCATTATTTGGGACACAAAATGATAGCTAGCTATTCTATTCCTATTGTCCCTGAACTTCATGTTCCAAAAACAATGAAATATGTCCAGCTGCAGCAATTGCTGGGCAATATCAACTGGATAAGACCCTATTTTAAAATTCCCCTTGAAGTTTTACGGCCGCTTTTTTCAGCCTTAAAAGGCCATCAATCTCCTGGTGATAAGATCACGTTGACTCCCTCTCAGCAGGAGACTGTTGCCCAGCTAAAGGAAATCATGCGTCTCCACTGGGTTGATCGAGCGATTCTTAATGTTTTGCCCGATGTAGTCATAATGACAGATTCTGTCCAACCTTTTGCGGCCATTATTCAGTTAGGCCCATGGAAAGTTCATATAATTGAATGGCTGTATTTACATCATACGCCAAAGAACACGGTGACTCCTTTAGTGGATCTCCTTGCTCAGCTCATCAGCAAGGGACGCCGTCGCTGCAAAAGCCTCTTTGGCACTGATTGCGGCCAACTCATTGTACCCATGCCTTTAGAACAATGGGAAACTGCTCTCTCCACTAGCATGGATTTGCAGTGAGCCTTAGCCGATTTTGTTGGCCAAGTGGATTGCCATATCCCAGCCGACCCTCGCCTGCAAATGAGCAAACAATTTTCCCTGTCTTTCTCAACCATATTATCTCCTGTCCCTTTGGACGCCCCTACTGTCTTTACTGATGGATCCCCCTCCAGGGGGGTAGTTGCCTGGAAACAAGATGAGGAATGGCACAGCCTCTACACTCTTCCACAAAAATCTGCCCAGCGTTCTGAGTTAGCAGCTGCTGTTAAAGCTCTGCACCACTTCTCCAAGCAGCCTTTAAATTTGGTCGTGGACAGCCTATATGTTGCAAATGTCATAACTCGTCTACAAGGCAGTTATGTAAGTCCTTTGTTGGGTGACAATTTATTGAGCCTTTTCCTATCCTTACAATTGCTTCTTTCCACTCGCTCCCACCCTCTATTTGTGGTGCACATTCTCTCTCACCAACCCTTCCCTGGCTTTATCACTGATGGCAATGCAAAAGCAGATTCCTTGCTTAGAGCTTTGCCTGTTTCCCCTATTGAAAGTCATGCTTTCCATCATCAAAATGCGAAAGCCCTTAGCAGTTCCAAATCCCGTTGGAAGCGGCACGTGCAATTATTCAACAATGCCCTCAATGCTCTAATCAGATTGGCCACCCCAGCCCTGGTGTTAATCCCCGTGGGCTGGCATCCAACCAGTTGTGGCAAATGGATGTAACTCACTTCGCCCCTTTTTCACCTTGGAAGTTCATACATGTTTGTGTTGATATGTTCTCTGGCTTTATTTGGGCCACCCCTCAAAGGGGAGAACAAGTTAAGCATGTTTGCAATCATCTTGTTCGTACCATGTCAGTCATGGGCAAGCCTCATTCCCTGAAAACTGACAATGCCCCAGCGTACTGTGCAAAAACCTTTGCTCGGTTCTGTGAAACTTGGAATATTCACCATTTATTTGGCATCCCCTACAATTCTCAAGGCCAAGCCATTGTTGAACGCGCCAATCGCACCTTGAAAACTGCTTTGATTCGCCAGGAAAAGAAGGCCGGTGTCCCAGCCTCACTTTCCGAAAAGGAAGGCTGGCTGGCCAGTGTTCTCTTTACTCTCAACCATTTGAATGTTTCCATACAGGATCATCAATCTTATACTCGCCTGCAGAAGCATTTTCAACAAACAGAGATACTCCCAGCCCCACTGGTCCGCAATAAGATATTACCCTCCAACGAATGGAGTGAACCTGTAAAACTGATCACCTGGGGAAAGGGTTACGCTGCAGTTTCTACTCCACAGGGTGCTCGCTGGGTTCCCGCACGCTGCATCCGCCTATACCATGGCGTGGCGACAGTCCCTTCCAAATCCGATACCGCAGTTCGACTGCAAACTACGGATCACCCAGGCTGCAACGCCCAGCCCCCCCCCAGGACTCGCAAGCGGGGAAATCGTAATGGACCTGTGACATGGGGCCAAATAAAATCACTCTCATGTCAGGCTGAACAGCTTAGAAAGGAAAAGCAGCTTGAAGCAACCCCTGAGAATTTGCTTCTGTGTGTTATTTCCTGCCTTAACATTAATTCCATGATAGTGCTCATTTTCAGCGTTTTGTTTTTGCCTCTTTCTGCTTCCACTCCTACTAGTGATACCCACGCACCAACTAATGTGTGGGAATCTTTTGCAAAGACACTCAATATTTCTTCCTTTTGCCTTACCCAACAGGTATCTATAGGGGAAATTCTTGGCTCCTGCCTTATCCCTGTTTGCCATGATCCTTTTGATATACAAAATGATACCTGGTTTTTCTCATCCCTACCCACGAATGATTCTCTCCGCACCCTTGGTTATTCCGGTTATTATGTCTGGGGTAACCAAGTGCGCCGCCGCCCATCTCTGGCCATTGACTTATCGACCCCATACGTGGCTTCCTTTAATGTCACTTGCGCCCGTATGGTGAATTGCACAAAAGCCAACTGCGTGAAAATGGCCACTGATAATTTCCACTGCTCTGATTATGTAAATATTTCCTATCTATATAAATACACAGAACTACCTGCGGGTTGGTTCTGGTCATGTCCTGGCTATACATTTAATTACATTCCAGCAAACATCAGCCATGGAACACCCTGTTGTTTAAGCCGTTTGTCCATTGTATTACCCAAAAAGCATCATTTGACCCCTTCTCGACATCGCCGCTCTATTGAATTAACTAACGATTGTGATGATTCAATTTCTCTTCCCAGTAGGTCTGAATGTATGTCCTTAGCTGTCTCTCTCTTAGGAGTTCCTGGATTGGCTGTACGCAATAGTAGAAATATTAATTCTCTAGCTTGTTCTGCAGCAAAAGCGCTGAATTATACTTCTCAAGCCCTTCACCTTTTGAATAAAGAGCAAAGTGAACTCCAGCATGGGCTTTTACAGAACCGTGCCGCTATAGATTATTTGTTGATGCTTCATCATTATGGCTGTGAACAAGTGAATGACATGTGTTGTTTCAATATTACTGACAATTCTAGAGCCATTCAAAGCCAAATCTCTCATTTGCAAAATCTTACACATCACATTAAACAGGACGTTGGATTTTCTGGCCTCTGGGATTCTTTCACCCAGTGGCTTACTGCTTGGCTGCCTAACCTTACTTGGCTTCGTGGTCTTTTTCAATATGCTATTGTCATAATATGTATATTAACTTTGCTATGCTGCTTCCTTCAATGCGTTCCTAGCCTCATAAGTCTTTTCTCTTGGCTTCTCTCTCCCCCTCAACCACCCAGTAAACTCCTTGCTGCTTACTTTGCGAAATGGCAACACCAACAGTAAACCAAAGGGGAGATGTTGGCAGACTTATTTTGGGCATGCGCTGGCAAACCACGTATCCTGAAGTATTTTTGTCCCATCGACCCTGGCGAACTTATTTTGGGCATGCGCTGGCACACCACGTATCCCGAAGTATTTTTGCCTTATTTACCCAGAACGCCTCGCAAACAAGAAAAGAAAGGGGGAGATAAAGGGAAGTTCTCTTTCTGCAGTTCTCTTACTGCACATAACTGTGGCATAAAGTCTTACTATTAGAACTATTGCTTCTTTTCTCTTGCATTCTGGGAAGTCTCGCTTCTGCTTCTGCACACACTGTTCCGAACACACCAAGCCAAACACACCTAGACATTCTCTCATTCTTCAGTTCATTTCAAGTTCATGACCAAAACAATGTGGTCTGTTCTTAATGCATAGCTGACCACATCTACGGAACTTGATTATTATATTCTTTCATGTTATGATCAATCATTAGTAATTGTTTTAGTCATGTTATATTAATCTTTAGTTATAATTTAATTAGGAGGATTCATGCCTGTCTAGTTCTAGCTCCATTTCTCATCCTTTGATCTATCAGTGATAAATGGTTGTATGTAATTCCCGCCTTGTACCTATGTTAACCAATCAGCAACAAGATGCTTTGTGTTTGTATCAACCAATCAGCCACAAGCACACCTGTGGCAATGTTTGTAATATTCAATAAAAGAGAGTTCCCGGGGCTTGCCCCGGCAGACGCCTCTCATATGACACCTACCACTCGTCTGTCGTGAATTCAACCCAACAGTCTTGGATTAGAGACCGAAGAACCCACCTGCATTAGCAGTACATTGTGCTGTTTTTTCTTCCTGTGATGTCACATACTGGTCAATGACAGCAGATATCTTAAATTTGGTTCTAGAAATGAAAATAGCCTGGAAATTTCTACCGAGAAGTGGGCTAAACATGAAACTATATGAGGGAAGCAATCAAAAAGGCTTTTGGGGGGGTGGGGAATCAACACCGCCCCACCCACTACCAGCAGAAATGCATTTTCTTCTTGCATGGCCATCTTGGGACCAGAGTCACATTTCATTCTCTCTTTCTCCAGGCAGTTTTCAGATCGGTTCACAACCTTGACTATCGGCCCTGCCGGCTGGGGCTGATGGGCGTTGGAGTTGAGCAACATTTGGAGGGCCCAGTGTTCCTGCCATCCCGGGGTAGACAACAGCCGCCCCCTCAAGTGCCTCAATGTCCCAGGACATCGCGAATTCACAGATCCGGGAATGTCCCGCTTTCGCTTAGCTGGCAAGGAGACGAAGAGCCGCCACCGCTTTCCAAAGTGCGCGGGCAAATGCCGCCGCCCTGCCCTTGCCTAGTGCGGCAGAAGGGCTTCAATGCTGCAGTTTCCGCGAGCGGTTGGCGGGGGGAACCTTTCAACAAGGGGCCGGGCTCGAAGCTGCGCTCTTGGCCGGCGATGAGCAGCGCCCCGTTGCGGGCGGAGTCCGGCATCCTCAGCTCCATGCCGTTCATGTCTACCATCCTGCTGTGGGGGGGCGGGGGGGTCTCGGAGGGGCTGCCTTGGCTGGGGGGCGGGCGACGAGGAAGGAGGGCGGCCGAGGCGGAGACCACTGCACTAGAGCAGATGAGGTAGATGGTGGTGGGTGGAGCAGGGGCGGGGAACAGCGGGGCAGAAGTACCATTGCATCCTGGCGGGGCGCCCTTGCCCGGCAGCAGGAGGGGAGGAAGGAGCCGAGCGGTGGGGGGCAGCTGCATCCACACCGCCTTCTTCACCTGCTGTTTCCCGGCGGCCTGATCTAACCGTGGGATCCAGCCGAGGGTGGCAAGCGGCTTTGCGGGGAAGCGATGATCTGCAGGGGCGTCTCCTGCTCCCGAGTTGCGAGCGAGCTTTCTCTGCGGGCTTCAGCCTTGTGCTCAGCCCGCCTGCCTGCTTGGAAGTCAGCGCCTTTCAGCCTGGGGCACATCGACATCAAGGCTTCAGCTCCCACTTACTCAGGCGGGGTGGGGGATAACAAAGGAGGGGCCGATTGTGACATAAGGCACCATAATGATGCTACAGGGACATTTTCCCCCTGCACGTGGAGACAGGCTCCCAGCACAATGACAGCGCTGCCTAGCGGTGCTTTGAAATGACAGTAAAACATCAAGATTCAGTATTGTCTCCCAAAGCAGACGGATTCCAACACCAACTTTTGGAAGAATATTTAGCAGCTTTGCAGAGAGACTGGGTCTAAAAAGGTTATGTATGGATTGGACCCTGGCTGGGACCTTCTGCCTGTGTAACTGCCCCTGAGCCCTTAGTTGGCGGGACCTCTGCCCCAGCCCTTCTTGAAGAGCTTGAAACTTGGGGGCTGATTTGGAAGGGATGCTAACTCATAAGAGAAAGAGAGAGTTACCCCTGTTACATCATATGTTAGACTTGGGGTGGGGAGGGAGGTGATTTTCTTTCTTTGTACAGATCAGCACTTTTTAAAAGTATTAACAGTGGATTACAAATTTTAAAAAAGCTAATGAGTTTGACAGACTGTACTACTGTGTACATTTCTCTTTTATTTTAGTTAGTTGTACTGTATTTATATTGTAAATAGACATAAAATAATCAAAACATTAATAAAATCAGCAGTTAAAATATACATATTTAAGAAACACATACAGTATTGAATACATTGAGGCTTGCATTGCAGGGGGTTGGACTAGATGACACTCTGGGTCGCTTCCAACCAAAATGCAAAACTCCGTGTATTTGAAGAAAGAGCAAAGCTTGATGGCAGAACACCTGCTTTGCATGCAGAAAGTCCCAAGTTTGATCCATGGCACCATATTCATCTCCTTTTTGTGCTGCTTTCATGTTTGCTGCAAACACTGCAGAACACTGCAAATTCCTGTTCTCCTCCTTGAACTCCAAGGAACTCAGGGGGCCCTCTACTTCCTCCTGCCCTGTTATCCTTCCAGCAAGCCTGTGAAGGAGGTTCGTCTGAGAGTGAGTGAGTGGCCCAAGATCTCTTAGTGACCACTATGGCTGAGTGGGGATTTGGTTTCTGGTTTCCCTGCTTGCTGCAGAACTGCAGCTCTTTGTGCATTTCAGGGGGTTGGACTAGATGACCCCCAGGGCACTTTCCAACTCTACGTTTCTATGATTCTACATTTTGTGGGTCTTTAAAAGACTGGCCATTGCATAATCTCTGTTGGGCTGGTGTTGCGAATAAGTGTCTTGAGCTTTTTAATTAACCCCATTTGAAGTTGCAAATGTTTGTTAGTCTTTTGAAGTGCTAACACAAGGCTTTGAGCATGAGGGTGCTGCAACAGACTCAGGAGCCAGTTAGGCTGAGAGGGAGTAGCTAGCCCAACATCACCCAGTGCGTCTCATGGCTGAGCGGGAAATTGAGCCCTGCTCTCCCAGGCCCAAGCCCAGCACTCTAACCACTAGGCCACATGGACTCTCCTGGAATCTTGGCATCGTGGCCGTGCGTTCCATGTCACCAAGCAACAGCTGTTTGAACTGAGGTTCTGGAATCCTCAGTGTGGAGAGGTTGGCAGAGGTTTGCTGTAGTGACCCTTGCTTATTTGGATTAGAATATGGCATCTCAAAGACTCCTGGAGGTAAGTGAAAGTTGGCATTTCCAGGGGACTTAGCTTTAGGACGTAGAATAATGGTATCACCAAGTTTGGCAAAGAGCTATCAAAGGTCAAAGGAAGCTTCTGTTTGTGTTCGTTGGTTTGTTTATTCGAATGTAAGCCTGTGACTAGGGAGTGTCTTGTTTTTGATTTTGTATAAGCCTCTCTGGGAGCCTTTTTGGCTGAGAAGAGGAGTACAAATGCTCTGAATGAATGAACGAAACGAACAAACAAACGAGTTCTCCCTGTGGGCATCTCTGACTTTCATCTCTTGTTTCAGGTCACCATCCTTCCTGCGGAGCAGCTTTTGGAGGCCAAGTGCTTCCTGGCCAGTGACCTTGCTGTTGAGAGCACCTTCGAGCCCTTGGACATCTCCCACTTGCTGCAAGAGTTCAGCAGCAAAGCAGTGGAGGTAGGATGCTGCCAGGGTAGGAGAGAAGAATCTCCGCCTTGAAGTAGGGGAGTCCACCTCATGCCATTGAGTGGCCATGACACGTGTTTGTTGGGAAGGGCCTCACAATGTAAGAATAAGAACCTCAGCCCAAGGGTCCTGAGACAGCCCCACTTCCTGGTACTATCTGAGTGACCCTCTCCTTCATCTCTGACAGGTGGAGGTGCTGCTGGAGGCCTCCCAAAAGATCACTCCGGAGTCTACAATGGAGAGCAGAGAAGTGGCCATCTTAGCTTATCATCACCTGGAGAAAGTGGTTGAATACCTCCTCCAATTTCCTTTCGTGTATGGAGCACTCAAGCTTCTACCGGCCTAAGGGAGATGTTGGGAATCTGCAGGGCTTGCTCAGAAAGTAACTCTCTCCCCGAGGGGGGAGGCCAGGCAGCTGGAGAACCCGGTCCCCACAGTGTCAGCAGCCACACTCCAAATCTCTTCCTCCATCTGGATTCCCAGCTGATTTGCTGCCTCATGGCAACAGACAGAGGATTTGGAGGGCTCCCACCGTGGTACCATAGCCAGGTTAGGTCCTTTAACAGGAAGAGCAACAGAGCAGAAGCCGAGAAGGCAGGGACAGGCCTCTGTCCTCTAGGGGAGGCAGCAAGGGGTGAGATTGGTGCAGGTTTCCCCTCTCTTTTTGCCATCTGCAGAGATGCAGCAGCACAGAGGGGCTGATCCAGATCACTGAGGGATCCTTCTGGAGTGCAGGAGACCAGGGAAGACCAAGCCATTTTCTCTCTCTGTGGCTCACAAAGGGACAAATGGAGTCCATTTTCCTTCAGCCTCTGGGGTTTTCTGGTCCAGCTTGGTTTTCCAAGGGAGACTATCCTTCAGGCGGCTACTAGGGAGAAAGGATGAGGAAGGAATTCGATTCTATTTGCATGTCAAGGCAGATCTGCATAATTCATAGTTTCTGGAAATATCAACTTCTGGGGGAGCCTTGTAAATGTGGTTTTCCAGTTTGATTCTTGGTGTTTTGGCCATTGTCAGACACGATGGTGTCTGGCAAGTCGTGTGTGGTGAAGATCTGCCACAGGGCCCAGATGATGTCCCTGGAGGTCATTGTTGAGACTGGCATCACCTCGAGTCACTTTGAGAAAGAGTCCACAATGATCAGGAACTTCAAGCCTTGGAATGAGCAGCGAAATCAATGTGGAGTCTTGACCACAGTGTATGTGTCATCTCCCACTGTTGAATCAGGGCCTTGGGCATGGCCGGTTGGGACTCTTGGCAGGTCTGGCAGTGCTGGACCCACTCTTCTACTACTGCATCAATGCCTGGCCACCAGACGTAGCTCCTGGCCAAAGCTTTCATGCAGACAGTGCCTGGATGACTCACATGGAAAGTCTCCGGCACTCTGGTCCGCAGCTTAGCAGGGATCATGACCCAGTTTCCCCATAGCAGGCATCCCTTGTGGACTGACAGTTCATGTTGCTGGGGACGAATGGGGAGAACTCTGCATCAAGGCGACTTGCTGGCCACCCCCTCCACACCCAGTTGAAGATGCAGGAGATGGTGCAATCCTTTGCCAAAGTGCGTGGCGACATCTGTGGCATGGAGCGGTGGCTGGAGCAGAATCTCCAGTAGCATCACACCATAGGCTGGGGATGGGTCGGTGTCAATGTCTGCCAATGACAGGCGGCTTAGGGCATCTGTGTGGCCCAGTTTCCTACCAGGATGGTGGTGCAGCACGTAGTCATATGCACTGAGAAAGATGGACCACCTTAGCATCCTTGGGGACTGGATCTGGGATGTCTGCCGATCAGGAGCAAAAAGGCCCAGCAGAGGTTTGTAGTCAGTCACGATCGTGAAGTGGCAGCTGTAGATGTAGTCAATCTGGGCAAAATTGTGTTCCATAGATGACAAGGTCCTGGAGTAAAATGCAATGGGGGCCTCCCGCCCATCCAGCAACTGGTGGCTGAGGACCATGCTGATTCCATACGGGGAAGTAATAGAGGCAAGCACAACGGGCTTGGTCTCATCGGAATGGGTAAGGATGCTGTCAGAGGAGAGCAGGTGTTTGACAGCATTGAAAGCAGCATCCTGAGCATGGCCCCAGTTCCAAGGGGCTTTCTTGTCCAATGGCCGGTGCAGGGGCTCCGCTATTGCTGCCTTATGGGGAAGAAAGGAGTGGTAGTAGATCAGCATGCCCAGGAAAGACTGCAGCTCTTGTTTCAAGCGTGGTGGTGCAGCACTTTGGATGGCCTTGACCTTTGCCAGTGTGGGATGGATGCTGTCAGCATCAATCAGGAACCCAAGGAACTCAACCTTGGGCACCCCCAGCTGGCATTTTTCTTTCTTCACCTTAAGGCTGGCATCTTGGAAATGGCGCAGGACTTCTCGAAGACGGGCCACAAGTTCTGCCTCGGACTGCCCTGTGATGAGGACGGCATCAAAATAAGGAATGATGCCCAGGAGGTCTTTCAGGACGTCTTCCATGAGGTTTTGGAAGAGGTCTGGGGCCACACTGACACCAAACTGTAGTGTCTTGACACGGAAAGCCCTGCGGTGGGTCACGATTGTCTGTGCCTCAGAGGTAGCCTCAACGACCAGAAGTTGTTGCTATGCCTGGGCCAAGTCGAGCTTTGCAAAGACTTTTCCGCCAGCCAGCGATACAAGGAGATGACTCACAACTGGAGCAGGATACGCATGCTGCTGCAGGGCCTTGTTGAGGGTACACTTGTAGTCAGCGCAGATCCTCACATCCCCGTTTGCCTTAAGGGGAGTGACAATTGGGGTCTCCCACTGAACATACAGGACTGGGTCAAGACCTCTTGTTTGATGAGGTGACCTAGCTCTGCATCAACCTTGGGTTTCAGGGCGAATGGCAGTCGCTGAAGTTGCAGTGGCAGGCAGTCTGCCACAAAGCCACAACAAAGGCAGCAATGGATTCACCTGAGGCCTGGTCTTATTTGTAGAAGGCATGCTGGCAGGCAATCTCTGATGACTGGGGAGCGAAGTGGGTCCTCAGCTTCAGCATTATTGCATCGAACATTGTATCGCTCAATTTGGCTGGGGCCAAACTGGATCCTGGGCCTGGGCAATTTTGAACGTAGCAGGCCCCCACACACTGAACAGCGTAGCCCGCTTCAGTTTGGAGTCAGTCACGTTATTGGTTGCGAGGAAGAACTCAAGCCGGGTGGCACAGGAGTCCCGTTTCCCTGGAACCGTGGTGTCAAATTCCTCAATGTGGCCCTGGGTGGCCATGACATCCGCTCTGTGTGATCTGCCTTGTGGCTGCAGTCAGTGATTTCAGCTCAGCTGAGGCAACAGTTTTCCAGCAGTGGTTTCAGCTTGTGGAAGCTAGCCAGGGATGCATACCTAGCCTTACATCCCACCTTCATCACCAGTGAAGTGTAGGTGAGTTCCCACGAGGCAAGACATGGTGATACCAGCAAGAACCTTTATTGAACTACATAACAGCGAAACAGGGGCAAAGCAACTGCTTATATACATTTCTGAAAGCTTGGGTCATTCCCACTCCCAACATGATTGGCTGTTTAAACTTCCAAACTGTGACTCACAACTCAGAGTTCAAGGGCCAATGGCAGAGGCCCAAATCCTGAAATGTTCTGTGATTGGACATCATGTATCGAATCAGAACACAGGAGCTCAGAATCCTTAGTCCAGACTCAAGCTCAGGCAAACACAGACCACTGAATACATAGCATCCGCCCTCCCCAATTTAGACGGCAACCCCAGTGGGGGTTCCCCAACATGCATCCTTTGGAATTTGGACCTCACCGCTACTATGTACTCTGAGTAATCATTTACCTTAAATATTCTGTGGCTCATGTCAAGGCTTCGGATTGTCTCCAGTTTTAGTTCTCTTCAGAGTAGAGCAATTGGATTTGATGTACATGATGAACTTAGGTCCATTCATTTCAGTGGGTTTGCTCAGCACAGAACATAGTTGGATCCAACTCTCCATCTGTAAGTAAGACTACAGATGGTGGATAAAATGAAAACCCATCTAAACCTCCATCAGAAAAGTGCTTTGTGGGGACAAGGAAAGTATCCCATCTCATCACCAAAGAGTTTCTTTCTCTTTGGGTCTCTTGAGCTGCTTATCTACAATATGCGGGTCTATCCCTATAAGGAAGCACTGGACCACCTGCTTACCTAGCTGCAACATGAACACCTACAAATCCGGAAGCTCAGACTCAGAGGGATATCCCTGCTTTTGGACTCTTACATGGCAAGTGATGCTTAGAGGGAGGGCGCGAGAAGGATTTAGATTCGAATCACAGCCAAGCACAAGTCTGTGCTAAAAGAAAAACTGTTGGGCCTTTCAGATCTTTGAAAAGAGTGTTTATTTTGTGTAGTACCCTGAAGATGCTGGCTGTAAGCTACTGCAGTCTGGCTGCCCATGTGAGTATTATGGAACAACTGCTTTCTGGATTGCACATTACATAATACACTGTTAAGGAGAAATGGTCCTAGGCATTCTTTATTCAGAATAAGATCTTTAAACCACGAAATAACTTGGCTGAAAGATGAACAGTCCCTCTGTTCATGGGGTTCTCCATGACAATGTCTCAAGACACTGTTTACTGCTCTGAGAGCTGGGTTGGCTTTAGCATCAGGCAGTATATGAATTCTGTGAAACCATTAAAACCATTCTGCTAAAACAATTAAAAAGCCCTTTCCAGCCTCAACAGAAGGCCTTCTGCAATTCCGTCCTGACCTGGTGAATCTGGCTTGCCAGACTCCTCAGGGTCCATTTATTGTTTTGGAAAAGGAAGGGTGGTGTTGTGACTGGCATGCAAGGAAGATGTTCTGGCATGTGGGGTGTTCCTCTGGAGCACCTTCTCTTGGAAGCCTGCATGAAAAACAGATCCCCAGGCACCGCCTTGGAGGAGAGTCATGTTTGTCCCCAATGCTGCACCAGGGGGAGAATAGGGGGCTGGCCAGCCTCAAAAGACCCCAGTGGGCAGGGGCCCTGATCTCACCTTTTCTGCTGGGGAAATTAAACAGCTCTGATGAGAGACACAATCTCTTTTGCTTTTTGCCTGTGTGAGGAAAACTTCATCTGGGCAGGCAGCAGCCACTGAACATCTGGGGCTGTTTCGGGGCAGGGCTAGAGACCAGTTGCTTCCCAGAACAACTACAGGAGCCATTCAAGAACTGGTCGTTGTCATTTACTTCAAAGAGGAGGACGAGGTGGCCAAGGTGAGGGCCAACAAGGTTAACTTACTCAATAGGAGGGAGAGATTGTTCTCAGGAGCTTCAGAGATTGTCTAGCTTTTGGAGGACAACTAATTTGTACAGTGGTACCTTGGGTTAAGAACTTAATTTGTTCTGGAGGTCCGTTCTTAA